CTGGGGAACTACCCACAAGGAAGGGTAGACTTGAGTACACAGACCTCTTTTACGGTTAGGACTGGTGTGACAAGAGGGAGGGGGAAATCAAAAGGGAAGTGGAAGCTTGAGCAGTCGATTTTACTCCGTCAAGGGTGAAGAGGACTCATTTCCAACGCCAAGAAATCCACAGGAGAGGGTCTCCCCCCACCCCGCCTCCACAAGCTTCTCACACCTCTGGGCCGCCGCGTGGACCACACTCTGGCCACCCTTCCCAGTGCCGCCTCTGCCAACCACGTTTCCTGAGGCTAGCTAAAGGAATCCTCCCTTGGGTCCTTCTCTCCGCTGCAAATTCGGCTAGACCCCGAAGACTAGACACAACTTGCCCTGCTCAGGAAGCATTTTGTGCATGCTAAGGAGTGTGGGTGGGTTTTCATCTCTGTGGACCCTTTGAGTCAACCTGAGTTTCCTGCCGCTGGGGAAATTCTTTCTCCAGTCTGTTCCATTTCCACCGTTCAGGGTCTCCCACTGCTCTGTAAAACCCAGAGCGTCCTGAGACAAAACTTTGTAAGAATTTCAGGGTCTTACCTAATTTAGTCCCAGAAGTGTGTATGGTGGGATGGGAATGAGGGACAGGATGAGGCCCCGCCCATGGCCACTAGCTTCCTGCCCTCAGTGGCCTGACAGGATGGTGCTGGGCTGCAGGTTTCCAGCCCAGCTCAGCACTCTGGTGCCAGTTTTAGACTCCGTCTCTATTTTGAGCCTCAACCACCAGCTGTGCTGGTTGGGCTCCTCACCCTCTGTTCCTCTGACCTAGCCCCTGCCTAGAAACTCCCTCACCTTCTGCATCCATTCTCCTGCCTGGATCCTTATATAGTAAAGGCCAGGGCGCGGGGCGGGGGAGGAAACAAACTATGCCTGGGTCAGGCTAGCTAGATGAAGCAGGAAGGACTTTCCCAGGCCAATTCTGGTTCCTCTAAAGGAGTCCTAGGAAGGCCTGAGGAGCCTAGTGGGTCTGGGACTCCAGACTGGTCCTCCCTTAAGTGACCAGCCATGGCTGACAAATGTACTAGCTTTAAAAACAGCTAGCTAGCCGGTCGGTGGTGGCGCACGCCTTTAATCCCAGCACTCGGGAGGCAGAGGCAGGCGGATCTCTATGAGTTCGAGGCTGGGCTGGACCGACAGCCTCCAAAACAATACAGAGAAACCCTGTCTCATTTAAAAAAAAAAAAAAACCAGCTAGCTTAGCTACAGGTCAGATTCCTAGCTGTCCGGCTTTACCGCTGGGGCCTCAGAGACCTCTGGTGGTCTGGGACCTCACTTTTCTCCAAGACCTGGGTCAGAAAGTGTTGTCAGCCAAACCCTGAGTAAGCAATGAATCTAGGATGTGACCCCCAGATTCTTTGAGGTCAGTACATAATGTACGTGAAGAAGGTCTGATCCCCAGCCTTTTAATGTGTTTCCCCAACTTAAGCTGTCCACCCTACCTGCTCCACTGCTCCCCAATTCTACACTCTGAAAACCAAGCCTTTAAAGCCACCTGTAGCCGGGCGTTGGTGGCGCATGCCTTTAATCCCAGCACTCAGGAGGCAGAGGCAGGCAGATCTCTGCGAGTTCAAGACCAGCCTGGACTACCAAGCGAGTTCCAGGACAGCCTCCAAAGCCACAGAGAAACCCTGTCTCGAAAAACAACAAAAAAAAAAGCCACCTGTATTGGGCCGGTTGGCGGCGCACGCCTTTAATCCTAGCACTCAGGAGGCAGAGGCAGTCGGATCTCTGTGAGTTCACAGAGCGAGTTCCAGCACAGCCTCCAAAACAATACAGAGAAACCCTGTCTCGAAAAACCAACCAAACAAACAAACAAAAAAACCAAACCACCTGGGGGCAGGAGAGATGGCTCAGAGGTTAAGAGCACTGACTGCTCTTCCAGAGGTCCTGAGTTTAATTCCCAGCAACCACATGGTGGCTCACAACCATCTATAATGAGATCTGGTGACTTCTTCTGGGCCTGCAGACATACATGCAGGCAGAATACTGTATGTATAATAAATAAATAAATAATTTTAAAAAAACACCTGTATTTAATGAACTTGTGTCCTCAGCCTGATTCAGTTTCTGTTTTCTGTATCCTCTGGAACAATTCATTTTCCTTCCTTCTAGGTGTCCTCCCCTTTCCCAAGCCCTTTCATTCCAGCCCCCATGTAATCCTATCCAGTGACATCTTTCAGAAGTTGTTTTTGGGGCTAGAGAGATGGCTCAGTGGTTAAGAGCACTAACTGCTCTTCCAGAGGACCTGAGTTCAATTCCCAGCACCCACATGGCAGCTCACAACTGCCTGTAATTCCAGTTCCAGGGAACCTGACACCCCTGGCATATGCGCCAAAGCAAATAAAAAATAAATAAGATTTTTAAAAAGTTGTTTTTATGTATATAAAACAAAGAAACCTCTGCAACAATCTAAAAGTTGCCAGTGCTCTCATTGGCTCATTTAACTTAAAGAAAAACAAAAGGTACCAGTCCTATTGACAGCTAGGAAGGAAGGGTCTGATTTCCAAAGGGTCATTAGAGGAGCCAACAGTGCCTCTGCCTGCCTAGACCCGAGCACACACAATCCACAAATCAGCCTTTCTTCTGATTACTTTGGGCCTTAGACATGACTTGGGGATGACTAAGGTGTACATGACCACAATGGCTTCCCAGAAAGAGCTGGTGGGGGAAGGCTTTTGGGTTCAATGAGAGGCAGAGGCCTCTTAACGAGTGCTACACCTCAAGCAAACTGAGGTATCCTAAGTAACCCAGCCTCTGGGTTATCTCGTCTGTGAAATGGTGATTAATGTATCACAATCACTTATCTCTGCCAAAGTGTTCTAGGAAGCTCTAGAAAATGATAAGCTCTAGAAAAGTGTTTGGCCACCTAAGGCATGCCAGTCAAGTGGGTGGGAACAGGCTACCTCCTCCTCTCCATCCCTAACAACACGCAGCCGTGATACCCAAACTGGAAACGAGGGAGAAAGGGATAGCATGATGTAGACACACACATTCAATGAGGGTGTAGAGAAGGTGAGTGGGGTTCCAAAGAGAAAGACCCAGAGAAGACTCTGGTGAAGATAGGCCAATAAGCAGAACAGTATATTGACCTACACTTCTTGTTCCCTGTCCATGCTGCAGAGTCCCAGGTTCCCCTTCTTCAGGTTACTCAATCTCCTACCAGGCTGCTAGGCCAAGGGTGAACAAATGCTGTGTGACAGTCTGACCACAGCCTGTGTCCTGCGGGGACATTCAGATCTGAAGGGCTTCCTGCCTGCTTTGTTTTCTACAATCTTGATTCCTGACCCTGCCTGCCTCCCCCATGTCCAGGGGTTGTAAGATTGTGATATGTCAGGGGCTGGAGAGATGGCTCAGTGCTTAAAGGCACTGACTGCTTTTCCAGAGGACCTGAGTTCAATTCCCAGCACCTACGTGGCAGCTAACAACTGTCTGTAACTCCAAGATCTGACAGTCTCACACAGACACACACATGCAAGCAAAATGCATGCAATACTAATGCATGTAAAATAGAAATAAATTATATTTTTAAATGATTGTGATATGTCACACCATGCCTCCATCACCTTCAACTCCCTTTCTGGGGAGGTCCTAGCAATGGACCTCCAGATGAAATCAAGAAACCCTGCCCTCAGAGTCTGTCCAGAGAAGAACCCTGCTTTGTACTTGGCTACTGTGGAGACAACCTGACTGGGGTAACCCATGGGGTCTCCTTCGGGTGTCTCTTAGGGATCACAGGCAACCTCAGGTTGGAAAGCACATTTGTACTAGTTTAAAAGGGGAGTGGTTTATTGTACCTGCAGTAAGTGGAGCCTGTGAGGCTGGTGCTCAAAAGGCTTGAGGCAGGATAATGAAGGCCAACCAGGCTGTAGAGCAGGGGAGTAATTGCCAGAGAAGAAAAAGGAGGAGGAGAAGAGGGAAAGGAGGAGGGAGGGAGGGAGGGAGGGAGGGAGGGAGGGAGGGAGGGAGGGAGGAAGCATCTCAGCTAGCTGTGGTGTGCATACCTGGAGTCCCCACACTTGAGATAGACACAGAGAGATCAAGAGTTCAAGATTATCATCAACTATTTAAGGCCAGTCTGGCCTATATGAAACCCTGACCCAAAATTAAATAAATAAACACAAACAAAAGGCCATCTGTGATGTCTCATGCCTAAAATTGAGAATCTCAGCACTCTGAAGGCTGAGACAGAAGGGAAGCCACAATTGAGGCTACCTGGGCTACATAATGAGTTCCAGGGGAGTCTGAGCTACCCTAGGCTACATAGTGAGTTCCAGGGGTGTCTGAGCTACCCTGGGCTACATAGTGAGTTCGAGGGGAGTCTGAGCTACAGAGTAACACCTTGTTTCAAAACAACAAGAAATAAATGGAAAATTCAGGTTGCAGCCAAAGCTCACTGCTTCACCAGAGTCAAGGGATAATGACCAAGGAAAGAGCAGAACACCTCCACTTCCCGGCATCCTGAGGCACATGGCCACACACGTGCTACATAATCACATATCTCCCTGGCTCCCACTCTGCCTGTGGTCTTATTTCAACTCCTTCAGTTGCTGTACCCACCCATGAAATTATGAGTGTAAGCACACTTTGAAAAGTCTAACCCTCTATGAATAAGTGAAAGGCATTGCTGTAATTATCATTCTTGTGTCCAATGAGCAAGACCTCTGCTGCCCACCTCTTAGCTATGGGTGGCCCAAAGTCAGGGAGTCCCAGACCATTCCTCAGCTCCTGGCCCTTTTTCTCTTTCAGTTGTCTGCTAAGCAGACGAGGACAGAGCAGACAAAAGCTGATTTCCTGAGACACTCAGAAGGTACAGCATGTGTTCTCTTAAAATGAGAGCCCTGGCCCTGAGTCTCCATCAGGAAAGTTGGGGAGAGGTGGCCTGCTGATACAAGAGGAAGAGAAGTACGTGGGAAGGATAGCAGATCTGTGGCCTCCTATCCCCCTACCCCCCCCCCCCGCAGGCTGACGCCTACCTTGGCCTTGCCGGTCATGCCCAAGAAGAAGCTGAAGGTCCGTCGCAGGGAGGAGCCTGCCCAGGTCCCTGAGTCCACGTCCAGCTGGCTACCACTGTAAGAAGACAGGGAAGCGGTGAGGAGAGGAAGCTGGGAGAGAAAACAGACCACAGGGATAGTAGGTGACCATGCCATTGAGATAGGAGGCTGGAAACATCCCTAATCCCCACCTCCTTGCTCTTCTGGGTCTGGGTGTTCCAGTGTTCCAGACTCCTCTATTTATGAGGAAACTCCAGACTCCTCCCAGATAAAGGTAGCCGCCCCCTTCCTCTCCAGCTGGAGATGGGAGGGCCCAGTCCCTCTAAAACTGTTCTCCATCAGATGTGGTTGGAGAGACAGCCCTCCAGGGGGCATTTGTCCCTCTCAGAACAAGAGCCCTGTGTAGACCCTCTGCTGTTTGGAAAAAGGCCCTGGGCCTAAAGCCAATAAGAACCGAATTTCCTGGGATTTCATCAGCCCATCCTATGAGCTAATTCCTACTGGAGCCAGGAGGTTATGTCAGCTAGAGAATTTCAGGATCACAAATCAGAGCCCGGCTCTTAAAGGGCCCATGTGTTGCTTTCACAGAAACAGAGTGACAAGGCTGCCCTGATCTAATAGAGCTTTGGCTACACAAGCCGGATGAACAGGTGCTGATTTTGTATGCTTATTTGCATAGTTATTGAAATGTTCAGCATCTATCTCCATTCTAAGCGCCATTCCAGGCCCTGTCCCTCTGCTGGGAATTCCACAGCCTTCAACTAGCTGCCCTTGAGTTATCTGCCATCCAAAGCTCATGCAAATGGTCACTGTCCATCCCGAATGACAACAGCAAGCAAATCTCTCTCTCTCTCTCTCTCTCTCTCTCTCTCTCTCTCTCTCTCTCTCTCTCTCTCTCTCTCTCTCTCTCAGCAGCTTCCATGGGGTTTGGCTCCTACTCCTTTTCTTTCCCTAATTCTTCTTCGGTCTCTCCGGGCTAGGACACAGCAGGAAGAAAGCAGGAAGTGGATTCTGTGCAGCTCAGGGAGATGGCTGTTTGCAGGCCTCCCCTCAGAAGCACTCTGGAGAACAGTGTTTAAAGAAGCAGGGAGTTTTAGGGCCGCAAAAGCCATGGCCCACACCCATCACTCCTACATGTAGGCTTCGATGGGCTCAGACTCTCCCAAACTCACCATTTCCTGAGGTCTGTGGCAGAGGACCGGAACACGTTGCCTGCTAAAACACAAGGAAAAGAGAAGTGTCCAGTAAAAGCCAGACAAAGGCACCCAAGGCTGCATCCCAACCCCCTCCACCTGGATCAGGTTCCCAGGCTGCAGGTGCCTGTGACGCCATTCCTGAGGGCGGCCACTGGGGAGCAGGGACAGAGGGCGGGGTCTGAGGAGAGCACAGCTGAACAACCTGAGAACAAGCTAGGGTGAAGAACTTGCTGGAACTGATGGTTCATTCCCTCTCTGTAAATGGAGAGGGCTGAAGTTCTGCCCTGAGCTCCCCATACTCCATCTTTTAATGTTCGTTCAGTTATTTGTGTGCGTGTACGGGGAGGGGCAGAAATGGAGAGATCAGGAGGGTCTCTCTTTCCACCATGTGGGTCCCAGGGATTGAACTCAGTTGCTAGACTTAGTGGAAGCACCTTTTACCCAGTGAACCATCTTGCCAGCACCCACATCTGCCATCTTCAGGACAAAGATGCTCTTCAAGTCACTGGGCTCCATCTCCAGTGATCCAGGAACCCGGAAAGACCCCTGCTGTCTTGTGTCCCCATTCACTGGCAGGACAGTCTCAGAGAGGCTGATGTCCTGAGTAAGACCCCTCATGTGACGAGATTTCCAGAACCTCAAAAGCGTATGACTTGCCTATCATTGGGGTCATTGAGATTCAAAACAGCTAACTCGGGGACTGCTGGTGACACTGGTGAGGGAAGGGGCCATTATTCCTTTGAGCCCTGCTTTTACTTACCTTCTGGATCTGAGCAATCCAAGAGGAAATTGATGCCACTCATGGACACAGCCTTGGACAGCATGCCAGCAGAGTGAGAGAAAGAGGCAGCAGACCGATGCTGGGAACGCTGGCCCTGGGATTGTGCACAGTCCTCACACAAAGTTAGGCCACGCGTTGCCCACCCTCCTCAAATGGGTCTCCCTCCCCCACAGTTAAGCCCTTCCACCAGGTCTCCCAAGATTCCACACGCCCCACATCTGGGCTACTTCACTGGAAATAGTTATTCCTAAGGCTTAGCCCATTAACCTGAACAGGAGACACAAGCCTGTATATTTTTTTCATTGCTATTTTGTGTTTCTGGTGTGTGTGTGTGTGTGTGTGTGTGTGTGTGTGTGTGTGTGTGTGTGTGTGTGTGTGTGTGTGTGTCAGCAGGAGGTGTGGAGCCCAGATGACAACTTTCAGGGGTTGTTTTTCTCCTTCCATCTGAGGTCTAGGGGTGAAACTTGGGTTGAGTTCTGCACAGCAAGTGCTTCTATCTGCTGAGCCAGCGTGCCAGCATCTTTCTTTTAAACATATTGCTAAGAAACTGTCTTAGGTAGCTCAGATGAACCTTGAGATCACCATGTAGCTGAGGATGAGTTTAAACTTGTTTTTTTGAGACAGGGACCTGAAAAAACAGACAGAACTTCTGTAGTCCTGGCTGTCCTGGAACTTGTTACGTAGACCAGACTGGCCTCAAATTCACAGAGATCCACCTGCCTCTGCCTCCTGAGACCTGGAATTAAAGGCGTGTACCAATCCTCTACCTTCTGAATGCTGTGATTACAGTAGGCCTGTACTACTATATCTCACTCTAAAACTGGGGTGCAGTTTTTATTGTTTTAAATCAACACAGAATTATGGAACATACTTATGGGGCACAATGTGATGTTTTGATATATATACATCCATTTTTTTTTCAAATTTTAAATTAGATTTGTGTGTGTGTGTGTGTGTGTGTGTGTCACAGCACACCTATAGAGGTCAAAGGACAGCTTGCAGGAGTCAGTTCTTTCCTTTCACAATATGTGTCTTAGATATTAAGCTCAGGTCATTAGGAGTATTTACTCACTAAGTTACTTCCTGCCCTCTTTTCTGTGTGTGTGTGTGTGTGTGTGGTGTTTAGTTGATTGGATTGAGACAGGGTTTTACTATGTAGTTCAAGATGGTCTTAAATTCATGACTCTGGAGCCAGGAGGTGGTGGTGCACACCTTTAATTCCAGCTCTCGGGAGGCAGAGGCAGGCGGTTCTCCGTGAGTTTGAGGCCAGCCTGGTCTACAAAGCGAGTTCCAGGACAGTCTCCAAAGCCAAACAGGGAAGCCCTGTCTTGAAAGAACAACAACTACAAAATAAAACAAAAAAAGAAAAGAAAAATGTTCAACATCCTTAGCCAGCAGGACAGGGAAATAAAACCACACTGAGACTCTATCTTACCTTTCAAAGTGGTTATCATCAAAAAAACAAAAAACAAAAACCAGTAAGGGGCTGGAGAGTTGGCTCAGTGGTTAAGAGCACTGGCTGCTCTTCCAGAGGTCCTGAGTTCAATTCCCAGCAACCACGTGGTGGCTCACAACCATCTATGTTTTTTTTTTTTTTTTTTCCCCGAGACAGGGTTTCTCTGTATTGTTTTGGAGCCTGTCCTGGAACTCACTCTGTAGACCTCGAACTCAGAGATCCGCCTGCCTCTGCCTCTCGAGTGCTGGGATTAAAGGCGTGTGCCACCAACGCCCGGCCCTCACAACCATCTATAATGAGACCTGGTGCCCTCTTCTGGTGTGCAGACAGAACACTGTATATATAATAAATAATATAATAATATGTATATATAAATAAAATCTTTAAAAAAATCTAAAAGTAATCTTTTAGATAAAACAATTATGCACCACTACAATTTAGGCTTCGGGTGCTCCTGAGACTTGCAGATGGGCTGAGCTGGTTCAATGCTGACGCTTGTGGTCCCTGCAGATGCTTCAGCAGCAGATAGCCAGGCCGTACAAATAATGCATTTAGATTATTGTCACTGTTCATCGACAGAGTCAAAACACATACAAGAGAGAAAGAGAAGGGGGGAGAAGAAAGAAAGAACAGAAACAAAAGTTAGAGATGGAGAGAAGGCTTTCAGTTAGGAGTTGTTACGGACAGCTTTTTCAGAGGACTGGGGTTTTGTTTACAGCACCCACTTTGGGCAGGGCAGGCAGCTCATAACCACCTTAATTCCAGTTCCAGGGAACCGATGCCTCTTCTGCCCTCTTCAAGCACAGTGATCATTTGCACATACCCACATACATGCATCCACACATTTAAAAAAAAAAAGCCAGTTGTGGTGGTGCACGCCTTTAATCCCAGAACTCAGGGATTAGAGTGAATGTGATCTCTGTGAATTTGAGGCCAGCCTGGTCTACATAGCGAGTTCCAGGACAGCCAGAGCTACATCCAGGTGAAAGAAGAAGGAGGAGGAGGAAATGGGGAAGAGGAAGAGGAGAAGGAATCAAAATGGAAGGAGGCTGGTGCGAGTGGCCAGCAAGTAAATGCTATGTGAGCATTGCACTTGGGCCTCATCCCTGGAGTCCATGGAAGGGGGAAGAAGAGAACAAGATGAAATCACAGACTTGTCCTCTGACCTCCATTTATGTCCTCCCTAATAATAAACTTAAGGGGGAAAGTATAGGGCTAAGGGCGTAGTTCAGCCAGCAGAGTGCTTATTCAGTATAATCAAGTCTTAGCGTCTGTCCACACAGAAAACTGGAGTGGTTCTCCTTGCCTATCATCCCAGAGCTTGGGAGGTGGAGGCATGAGTGGAGTGCACCCTGTAAATTTTAGTCCCTGGAAACCTTGGTTTGTTTTTTTTTTTTTTTTTTTTTTTTTTTGGTTTTTCAAGACAGGGTTTCTCTGTGGCTTTTTTTTTTTTTTTTTTTTTTTTTTTTTTTGGTTTTTCGAGACAGGGTTTCTCTGTATTGTTTTGGAGGCTGTCCTGGAACTCTCTCTGTAGACCAGGCTGGCCTTGAACTCACAGAGATCCACCTGCCTCTGCCTCCCGAGTGCTGGGATTAAAAGTGTGCACCACCACCGCCCAAAGATAACTGTTTAAAGGGAAATGACAATAATCACACCGCTACCTATGGGAGGAAGGACAGGAAGAAGAGGGAGAGCCTGGGAGGGGACTTAGTGGATAAATCCTGCTAACCTAAGTGTGAGCCTCAGAGCCTGCAGAGAGGGGACCTGAAGAGATGGCTGCTCTTCCAGAGTTCAGTTCCAGACTCCACATGGCAGCTCACAACTGTCTTCAGTCCCAGAGAATCCAACACCCTTTTCTGACTTCCATACGCACCAGGCACACAGATGCTACACAAATATATGTGCAGGCAAAACACCCATAGACATAAAATAATTTTTTTAAAGTCTGTGTAATAGAGAGAGTCAACACCTGAAAGCTGTCCTCTGATTTCCACATAGACACAGTGGCCCGCGTGCGCCTGTCCAGGCACATAAAACAAACAGATGTTAAAAAAAGAAAATAGCCTGAGCCTAGTGGCACACACGCTTAATCCCAGCACCTCGGAGGCAGAGGTAGCCTAGGAATTCCGGAAGGCCTTTACAGACCAAGCTGGTTCCAAAAACAACAACAACAAATATATATATATATATATTTTTTTTTTAAGAAGATGAAAGAGCTGGGTGGTGGCGGTGCACACTTTTAATCCCAGCACTCAGGAGTCAGAGGCAGGCAGATTTTTGTGAGTTCGAGGCCAGCCTGATCTTGAGTGAGTTCAAAGCTACACAGAGAAACCCTGTCTCGAAAAAAAATACAAAAATAATAAAAGAAAGGAAGAAAGGAAGGAAGGAAGGGGGGAAGGAAGGAAGGAAGGAAGGGAGGGAAGTATATGTCAGCAGTCTGCAGGGATGAAGGTATTGATAATGTCTTGGGATGGGAAGTATTTTGGTTTGTTTTGGTTTTGGTACTTGTAAATCTTGTAAATATTTTATTTTTAAAAAACAAACCCAGAGCCAGGTGTTGGTGGCGCACGCCTTTAATCCCAGCACTCAGGAGACAGAGGCAGGTGGATCTCTGTGAGTTTGAGGCCAGCCTGGTCTACAGAGTGAGTTCCAGGACAGGCTCCAAAGCCACAGAGAAACCCTGTCTCGAAAAACAAAACAACAACAAAATACATAAATAAATAAAATAAAGCCAGAGTTGGGGGTAGTGGTTCATGCCCATGATCCTTGCACTTAAGAGTCAGGAAAATCGTCACAAGTTGGAGGTGAGCCTGGTCTACTTGCCAAGCTCCAAACCAGCTAAGGCTACATAGTCTCAAGATACAAAAACAAAACAGAAAGGGCTGGGTGTGGTGTGTATCTGTGATCCCAGAGCTAGAAAGGGCCAAGGCAGGAGAACTGAGAGGGCTAGCCTGTGCTATATAAGTAGATCTAGCTCACATAAAAGAAAAGAATCAGATAAAACCAAAAGCAAAGGAAAAATGCAAGAGCACATTAGTGGCTGTAGTCAGCCAGAGAGCAGAAGACAAAGTTACAAACTAGAAGTTTAGGGCCACAGAGGTGGCTGTGCAGTCAGGAGAGTGAGTGGCCCAGAATTCAGATTCCAGCACCCCTTTAACCAACCAGGCATTGCATGCACAGGCATGTGTACCCGTGCATGTGTATGCGCATGAACACACATACACACACACACACACACACACACCCCATAAATTCCTTTACAGTGTGAAAGGATCAACTTTGGGATGAGATTTTGCTGACATGTCTGTCTGCATCTGCTACCTAGCCCCGGAGAATTGGATTTTTGGTCTACAGGCTTTGGAGGAATGCCACAAGAAAGAAAAACAAGAACCTCAAGCCCTGAGGCAAGGAGAATATTAAGGGGAGTCCTTAAAGATTAGATGAGGGGAGCCGGGCGTTGGTGGCACATGCCTTTAATCCCAGCACTCGGGAGGCAGAGGCAGGCGGATCTCTGTGAGTTCGAGGCCAGCCTGGTCTACAGAGTGAGTTCCAGGACAGGCTCCAAAGTTACAGAGAAACACTGCCTTGAAAAGCCAAAAAAAAAAAAAAAAAAAAAAAAAAAAAAAAGATTAGATGAGGGGAAACAAACACAGGAACAGGAGCAAGCAGGAGAGAGCGGGAGAGAAGAAATCATAATACCAAGAAGGGAGTGAGTAAGAGGAGATTGCAGGAAGGAGGGACTGAGCAAAAAAGGGAGAGACTCAGGAAGAGAGCTCATCTCCTGTGCCAGATCCTGGATCGGGCAGCTTTAACACCGTTCTTTACTGAACTCACCTCCTGGCAGCCCTGGGTCAGGAAGCCTAATGCCATTCTTCTAATAACTGCAGCCATAAGGCAGTTTTATTTCTGATTTGGGGAAGACGGGGTAAGCGCATCAGCTGCTAAGTGAGGAAGGTCTAGGAGTGGCAGCCTGATCTTTATAATCTCTCACTTAAAATGGGGGGTCGGGAGGAAACTTTCAGAAGTGTGGGTGTAGAAAAACAGGAGCTGGAATAAGATGGGGTCCTGCTACTGGCCTGGGAGGCTGGCTACATTCTCTCTCCCAGCCAGCCCTTTCTTCCCCCCAGACACAGTGAGGGTCAGGTTAGAGGTCCTGTCCCGGGCAGCTGGGGAGTGAGTGCAGGAGGGAATCTTAAGTCACTCGAGGCTCTCTCTGGAGTGCAGGACACTGACTGTGGGGCCAGAGGTTCCTTTCAAGCCTGTGTCCTTAGATCCTGGAATCCCTCATCAGTTGTACTCCCTCATCCAGAAAGCTGAGCAATTGCTGCATCTCCTCTCCTTCCCTCATCCTCCCTCCCTTCCTCTCTCCTTCTTTTCCACCCTTCCTCTATTGCTGGGATTAAAGCCCAAAACCCCAGCACCACCTACACTCGAGGTTCTGTATCCTTTTTCAATCGCTATTCTGTTAAGATCTCATTTTGAGGGCTGCTGTGTCTTTCAGGGTACCAGATGCTGAGTCTACTCCGACAAATAGTAAGGTCAGTTCCAACTCTGGGAAATGTGGGGCACACAGAAAGAAGTAGTCATAGTCACCAAAGGACAGAGGTCTTATAACTAAGGGAGGGGACAAATACCCACGTCAATACAGAGAGACAGCCATGGAAGAGAAGAAACAGTGCTACAGAAAGAGCTTCAGGGCACAGCACACACAGACTCAGGGAAGCAGACAGAGGGTCACAGAAGACAGATTCAGCCGGGCCCAGATGGAGCCAGAGCCAGGTCCGGGCACAGAGAGACTCAGCAGCTGATGGAACAGAAGACGCACAGAGTGGTTGCTAGCAGGGGAGGATGAGGTGGGGGTGAGCCAGGCAGTGGCCTGGCCGGGGTCTATCTCATACCGGGTGGGAGGGTTGGCCACCCTGCTGCTGTTCTCCCAGAAAAGTGTCCAGTTCCTCGTGGCTCTGCAGAAAGGGGTCTTCCTGGGAACCTGGGCATTCCGATGAGTACAGTCTCCTCCTGAAACACACATCGCCACCACTGCCCTTGTAGCCAGTAGTCAGTGATGGGCACCGGGAACGAACAGTTCCTTGGCCCAGCCCTGTTGTTTGCCCCCAGCCCAGCCCTTCCTGTTAGCATAGGCACAGCTCAAACTCAAACTAAGCTCGATGCTGGCACAGTTGATTTCAGACAAGAGCGGCCCCTGCTGGTGCAAAGTGCCCTCCAGAAAGGAAAGGGGAAGGGAAAGCTGAAGTCTTGGTGCCAACCTCTCTCTCCTCTTACTTAGAGATGGTGAGGCCAGCACTCCTTCCCTCTGCACCTGAGGCACAGAATTAACGTCTGCTCATGAAGGATGGGGGACACCTTAGAATCCAGAGAAACTGTAGGCAGGCATCACCAAAGGTACTCAAGGCACTGTGCCTTCAACCAGGCCTGTGGGAAGGCATTGCTGTTCACCAAGTTCTCACAAAACCAGTGCTGGGACAAAGCCACAGGGAGCATCTCCCTCAGTCAGCAAACCCTCTCTGTCCATGCCCAAGAGTTGAAGAATGCTGAACTGCTCACCAGAGCTGAGGACTTGTCTAAGGAGACCATACCCAAGTCAAGAGACTGTCTGTGCCTTGGTGGTAGCTGGCCCTGGGGATGACCGCTCACACTGGACTCACATGGCTAACCCCCTCCCCCGACCTTCTCTTTTTTTACTTCCTCTATTTTGGGGAAGTGGTCAGGGATTTTCCAGGAGATAGGGAAGACAAGGGTCCCTCTCCTCAAGCCTGCTAAGCATGTGCAGAGCTCTGAGCAAAGGCTGTCCCCAGCCAGGCATGGTGGCCTATGCCTGTCATCTCAGCACTTGGGATGGGGTAAGGAGAATTAGGAATTTAAGGCCAGCCTGAGCTACCGGAAACCCTGTCTCAAAAATAAACAAAAAACAATGGACAATCTAATAAACATAAAACTACACTGTTTTTGGCTGCAGCTGTGTCCAGGACATGGGTCTGCCTCGGCCTGGAACCAGCAAGGTGACAGAAGCCTGGGGAGGCACTACCAACGTCCCTCAAGAAGTCTCTGAAGTTCTCTGTAAAAAGAAGGGGCTAGGTAGCCGGGCGTTGGTGGCACACACCTTTAATCCCAGCACTTGGGAGACAGAGGCAGGTGGATCTCTGTGAGTTCGAGACCAGCCTGGTCTACAAAGTGAGTTCCAGGACAGCCTCCAAAAAACAAAAAAACAAAAACAAAAAAAAAAAAAAAGAAGAAGAGGCTAGGTATTATGATCTCCAAGTCTTCTTGCCACCATTGAGTGGGACCGTGAAACTCAAAGGGGACTGGCCCACTCAGTACTCCCTCCCACCCTCTACCACCCCACCTGCCTGTGGATGGGTGGGAAGGAGTGAGGACCATTGTGGAGAGCCCTGTTTTAGAAGGTGGTGTCTGTCCTCCCCAGGGCTCATCACAAGCCAAGCTGTTAGTCTCCAGGAGAGCTTTGAACTCCTGTCACTCCTCAGAGATCCATGTCTCTCCAGAGAGATCACGGGGGTGGGGGGGTGGGGGGGGTTGGGGGGTAAAGACACCAGGATGTGCCTTTCTAAACACTTTCTCCAAGGCTTAGAGATGCTGAAGGGAGGCTCAGGAGATCCCCTGAGGACTCACCTGCTCACAGGGTCCTGGAACTCCTTGCCAGGTCCCCAACTGTGCCTTTTGAAGGAATCACTGGTGTGGCTATGGGCTCTGAAAGCCCCAGACCTTCTAAGGGGTGAGGTGTGGAAGCCATCACTGTCTTCCTCTTTTTCTTTCTTCTCCTCCTCTTCTTCATCCTCCTCTTCCTCCAGCTGCTCTCTGGGTTCAACTGCAGGCAGCCAGCATTGAGTGTGACCTTGGGGCACTGGGTCTTCACCTACGAGGGACTCCTCTGAGGCCGATCTGTTCATGGAAGGTACACGGAGACAACTCTGAATTGAGAAGAAAGAGAAAGGTGAGCAGAATTCTAGAACCTTGGAACCAGATGTAGTGCCACAGACCTTCAAGAGGTTGAGGTGGGAGAATGGCGCTGAGTTGGGGCCAGGCTAACCTGGGCTGCACGGTGAGTTTTGTGCTAGTATGGACTGAGAATGAGGCCCTGTCTTTTAAAGAAGGAAGAAAGAAAGAGACTGAGCCAGTAGCACATTCTTTTAATCCCAGCATTTGGGAAACAGAGGTAGGCTGATTTTAGCAAGTTTGAAGCTGGCTTGGCCTTCCTGTAGCAAGTTTCAAGCCAGCCAGAACTACATAGTGAGATCCTATCTTAGAAAAAAGAAAGAAGGGGCTGGAGAGATGGCTCAGAGGTTAAGAGCACTGGTGATCTTCCAGAGGACCTGAGTTCAATTCCCAGCAACCACATGGTTGCTGTCTTTCTGGTGTGCAGGTGAACATTTAGGTATGCATAAAATAAATAAATATTTTTAAATAATCTATTTAACCTTTTATTTTATATGCACTGGTGTGAAGGTACCAGATCCTCTGGAACTGAGTTACAGACAGTTGTAAGCTGCCATGTGGGTACTGACAATGAACCCTGGGCCTCTGGAAGAGCATCTCTCATCTCTCTAGCCCCCAAAATAAATAAATCTTAAAAAATAAATAAAAGAAAGAAGAAAGAGAGGAAGAAAGAGAGATGAAAGGCAGAAAGGGCAGCGTCCCACTGAACATCCCCTACCCCTCACTCAGCTGAGGCAGAGTCGGAGGATGCCTGGTTTAAGGAAACTGCATGCAAGGTTGAGTGCAGAACTTGGCTGTTCTTAGCAGGGCAGTGGTAGCACATGCCTTTTTTTAAAAGATTTATTTACTTGGGAGGCAGAGGCAGGCAGATCTCTGTGAGTTCGAGGCTAGCCTGGTCTACAGAACTAGTTCCAGGACAGTCTCCAAAACAATACAGAGAGACCCTCTCTCGAAAAAAAAAAAAAAAAAGAAGGCAGAGCAGGGAAACTGAGAGTTCAAGGCCACTGTGGGCAATAAAGTCAGTTGGAAGTGAGCCTAAACTACACAGTGAGACCTTGTTTCAAAATGAAACTTTTTTTTTTGTTTTTTTTTGAGACAGGGTTTCTCTGTGGCTTTGGAGACTATCCTGGAACTAGCTCTGTAGACCATGCTGGTCTCGAACTCACAGAGATCCACCTGCCTCTGCCTCCCAAGTGCTAGGATTAAAGGCGTGCACCATCAAAGCCCAGCCAAAATGAAACATTTTAAAAGACATTCTTGTTTGCTCATTATTATCCCATTCATAGTGCATCTATATGGTAGAAAGCCATGCTAAGAAAAGCTAGATACAGTGGTGGCGCACACCTTTAATCCCAGCACTCGGGAGGCAGACACAGGTGGATCTCTGTGAGTTTGAGGCCAGCCTGGTCTACATAGCCAGTTCCAGGACAGCCAGGGCTACACAGAGAAACCCTCTCAAACTCCCCCCCCACCTCCCCTGAAAAAAAAAGAAAAGCAGATACTGTTTCTGTCCTTAGGTGTTCCTGTGTGTGTGTGTACATGTTCTCAGACTAAAGAACAATTCAAAACTGCCTTCATAATTCCCAAATGCTACAAGAGAAATTTCAAAAGTCTTTACCCAGAATGGGTGAGGTAGTGTACACCTTTAAATCCAGCACTCAGGAGACAGAGGCAGATCTCTGGGAGTTTAAGACCAGCTTTGTGTACATACAATCAGGGCTACACAGTGAGACATTGTCTCACAAACAAGCAAGCAAAGAAACAATGTCTTTTTTTTTTTTTTTTTTTTTTTTGGTCTCCAACTCACAGAGATCCGCCTGCCTCTGCCTCCCGAGTGCTGGGATTAAAGGCATGCGCCACCATCGCAGCTGAAACAATGTCTTGTCTACCAGTGGAGCGAGTGCATATCGCTAGTGGGAGTCTCCAGAAAGCAGAACAGGAGGAGCAGTTTAACTTTGGGAGGCGCGGTGGCTGGGCTTAGGCCACGGGAAGGGAAACGCTTCCAGGTTGATAAAGTAACAGGGAAAGGGTCTATATGAGAAGACTTAGTGGGTAAAAGCTTGTGTGCAAGCCTGATAGCTGAGGTCCATGTCTGGATCCTACAGTGGAGGGAGGCCACAGACTTCCAAAAGTCCTCTGCCCTGCACACGTGCTGCGGTATGTGTGGGTAAATAAGTGTGTTCGCTTATTTGATTATACTTGTGTGGCATGGTATACATTTGTAGGCCAGAAGACACCTTCCCAGAGTTGGCTCTCTCTGTTCTCTTTTTCACTCCCAGCCCCCTCCCATCTTCCCCTGACCTCTTAGCTCAGGAAATGCCTCAAGAGACAAGGCAACAGTCCAGGCTGGGACTCTGGCACTGAGATCATATCAAGTCACTTCACTGAGAAACAGAACTAGAAGATTCTGAAGCAGGTGCCTGGGATGAAGCGGGAAGAACAGGAGAAAAAACAATAAGCAGTCATTTGATTTATCCTCTTGTCTCTTAATACCTCAGCCCATCTCTACCTCTCCCTTTAGAGACCTGCATTAACCAGGCTGCTCACCACGGACTCACATATTTTGGGTACTAGGGTAATAAAGTAATTATGAGCAGCAGGGGGCACTGTAGCTCAAAGCCAAGCCCATGCTTTCTTCAGGTGTATCTGGTTTGAAGTCCATTAGATTTATAAGTATAACCTTAGAAACCCTCGTGATTTTGGGCTGCCTTCTTCTTCTTCTTCTTCTTCTTCTTCTTCTTCTTCTTCTTCTTCTTCTTCTTCTTCTTCTTCTTCTTCTTCTTCTTCTTCTGCTGCTGCTGCTGCTGCTGCTGCTCAGAAAATATGAGAATGACATTCCTAGCTGGGTGGTGTACACTTTTGATCCCAGCATTCAGGAATTAAATTTCTGTGAGTTCAAGGCCAGCCTGATCTACAGAGTGATCTCTAGGACAGCCAAGTCTGTTACATAGAGAAACTCTGTCTTGAAAAATGAAAGAGAGAGAGAGAGAGAGAGAATGACCTCCTCCATAGACTCATGTATTTGAACAATTGGTGCCCAGTTGGTGGAATTGTTTTAGGAAGGATTGGGAAGTGTGGCTTGCTGGAGGAAGTGTGTCACTGGGGATGGGCTTTGAGGTTTCAAAAACTAACACCAGGTCCTCCTCTCTCTCTCTCTTCCTTTCTCTCCCTCTTTCTCTCTCTCTCTTCCTCTCTCCTTCTCTCTCCCTCTCTCCCTTCTTCCCTCTCTCTCTCTCCCTCCCTCCCTCCCTCCCTCCCTCTCTCTCTCTCTCTCACACACACACACTCTCTCTCTCTCTCTCTCTCTCTCTCTCTCTCTCTCTCTCTCTCTCTCTCTCTCTCTCTTTCTCTTGCCTGTGGATCAGTTGTGAGCTCTCAGCAGCTGCTCCAGAACTATGCCTGCCTGCCTGCTGCCATGCTCCCTGTAGGGAAAAGGGACCAGTCAAAGAAACACACCCTGAGCAGAGCCAAAGAAACACACTTTGGCCCTGCAACCAGAACCAAAGAAATGTACCCTGACCCTAAAACCAGTGCCAAAGGAACACACTTTGTCCCTGGAATCAGAGTCAGTGAAAGAAATGTACCCTGGCCCTAAAATTGGAGCCAAAAGGCTAAAAAGGACCAGAGAAAGAAACACACTTTGGCCCTGAAACCAGAGCCAAATCTGACCCTAATCCTGTGTAAAAAAGTAACCAATCCCGGAGCAGAGCTCTAGCCAATCTGAGCTCAGCACTGAAATCGGACCAATCCCTACCCTGGAAAAACTTCCCCAACCCCAGGAACCCCTATATAAACCCTGTGTATGTTCAGCTTGGCTGGTCCAGCTGTCTTCCAATAAACACCTTTGGATGAGCTTCGGGTGAAGATCTTCTTTTGCGGCGGCCACAGAGCAAGCAGAGGCGACCCTGGGCAGAGCAGAGCAGAGCAGAGCAGAGCAGAGCAGAGCGAGCAGCGCTGTAACACTTGCCCAGGAAACCTTCCTTGGCAGAGCGGAGTTGTTACACTCTGCTCCCGGCTCCCTGCTCTCTGCTCTCCGCTCTCCAGGAGCAGAGCTGAACTGTAGCAACTTCGCCCGAGAAACCTCCTGCGGAGCAAAACTGCTACACTAGGCGAACATCCCCAGCTGGAAGACCCTGTCCTGCCGTGCCGGAGCGGAGCTGACACACCGGAGAAGCCTTTCTCTGAGGCAAGGCTGTAAGCTGCCAAGCTTACTGCAACCCGTGGTGGTCCTTGGCTCCCGAGCTCCAGGATACCTTTCTACCTGAGCTGTGTAACACTCAGTATCCTTGGCTCCCGAGCTCCAGGATACCTTTCCACCTGAGCTGTGTAACACTGGGTATTCTGTGACTCCCGAGTGCCAGAATACCTGACCCACTCCTGTTCCATCCTGTCCTGACCCATCCCGACGAAACGCTTACATTTGGTGCCGAAACCCGGGATAGGCTCTCCTGGTGCCTGTGCTCCCTTTCATGGTCTGAGCCGCACTGGGATCCTATCCCTCATCTTCAGTCTACCCGTGACTTGGATAGGCTCTCCTGGTGCCTGTGCTCCCCTTCGTGGTCTGAGCCGCACTGGGACCCTATCTCTCATCTCCAGTTGGCCTGCAGCAGACTCGCCTTCCAGCTCACCAATCGCTTGACACTACATCCACCATCAACGATTGGGTAAGTCTCCCCTTCAGCTCCCTAAGTCAGGGATACTTGTAGAGACGGAGGTACCCCAGCCAAGGCCCTTAAGGCTACAGCTGACCCTCCTCACCTTACCCCAGCCTACCACCCTTGAAATTGCAATCCTGCAGTTTCCTTAGGCCCCACCGGGTCATTGCGTCCCTTCCTGACCTCCTCCCTTGGAGCTGGCTGTCGTTGCACAGCTCCTCTAGGCCCTTGCGGCTTCTACGATTCCAATCCTGACCCTTTCCTTTGGATGAGACCCTTTTAGAGCTCGGTTTCCGTCTACGCCTTCTGGCCTCTAGAAA